TTACACTATATAATCTCTTTGTTTTTACTAATTTATAGATATTATATCTTTCACCTTTCTTAATATCTAATATATTATATAAATCATTACAAGCTAAAATCTTTGCATGACTAGCTATCTTAAACTCATTACAGGCCATTTATATCTTTCTCAATTATCATACTTTTTATATCTAAACCAATTTTTATACAAAGCTTTTTTATTTTTTTATCTTTTCTTGCACCATTTTGATTCAACCACAACACTTTTTAATTACAGAATTTTTTTCTATTTGATACTCCAAGCACTCCTTTTCAATATTCTTAATATCAGCTACTTTTCCCACATAATATTAACTTCCTCATGGATAGAAAAAAATTTTAAGATATTAACTTTTACACTAAAAATAATTTTTTTAATATTTTTTAAATGCCACAATCTAATCCTATAAATAACGTTTTACTTTATCTTTTATACCTAACATTCATCTTAAAGTCGAAAACTAATAAGTGATGTTGGGCATTTACCATCGTATGAACACTTTATACAATCTTTACGAATTTGAAACGACTTTATTTTCTTATAAGAAATAATCAATCATATACTTTTATATTTCAAGTGCCGAATTGCTGTCTCGACCCTCTTTGCTGCTGTCTCGGCATCCCTAGCCGCTGGCCAGTCATTTTGGGTGACCTCTTATGGCTGTCTCGCTGTCCAGAATGTTCCCCATCGCCATATCTTGAAGGCTCCGTAACCTAAAGTGCTGTCCACTCTTCCTCAAACGCATAAGCAACTACGCCGGAGCACCGTATTTGTCGTTCCCTTGGATAACTTCTTTCTTTGGGTAAACTCTTCGTCCAAACTCTCTTATCTTCCTAGTTTACTTTTCGTTTATGGTTATTAATGGATTCATGAAGATCATGTCAATTATTCACCGCTAGAACTTAGTAATAGGAAGAGTTATGTGAGGGATCTTCTCATAGCAACTAATCTTATTGTTAGTATTGGAATTTCTCGTTGAAACTACTCATGTATGCAAAGTAAGACTTAGTTAACTATTTAATGATCTCAACCTCTCGCATGTGTTTAACCTAAGCTAAGTATCACTTAATTTTTATCTTATCGTTCAATTCCGTATAAGATTTTACTTATTATTGCCTCTAGACCTAAGCGTGCAAACTTCTTTGAGCAAATCATTTTCGCATGGGATTGTTTCACATCACTCATGCATGCTATTCTTAGCATGGATAGGAAAACACGTGTGATGCTCTTAACGTAGTCGGTAAGCCGTGTGCATGATTTTCGTATCATGCCAAGGAAATTTGTGTTTCAAAATTCTCTCTTGCATGTATCCCATGTGCTCTTTTGTTAGCGTGGTGGGTAATGAAAATTACATCCATGGTGTCTTTAGATATTGATCGTGCACGGCTTTCTTGACACAGTGGGCTGGTCATGACTCCCTGTACATACTCCTTATGCAGGGTAGATGTTGGGTGATTGTTGAAATTTGGACTAAATAAACTTGAAAAGAACGACATATAGGGGATTCATGAACATTCATGCAATATGAATGTGCACAAACATGCAAAATGCAGAACTTATAAAATCATAAGATGAGAATAAAATTGAATGTGAGAACAATGATTGAACACAAAATTGAACTTAAAAAGGACTTGCATGAGACTTGTAATGAATGCTCAACTTGCCTACAGGTCGTAATTAAGTGAGGGCAGTCCCAAGCAAATAAAAACTCAAGTGAAAAATTGAATGGTAAAATGAACAAGCTAACCCCTCATATTTATAGGAGGGGAAGGATTCTTTGCAGTACCCTTCTCGCTAAAATACAAACATAAAAGGACAAAAATATCACATATTGAAATGTACTTAATGGATTCTTATTCACCTTTTATATCGCTAGATCCGCAACACATGCACGCTAGTAGAAAAAATACGGAAGGTGCCTTTTAAAATTTCAAGATCAAACTTTACATGCATTTCAACGATAAATGTCTGTATGCAAATATTTGGATGTTTTTTAATTATGCTCGTGTAGTAACATAATTAAAATCTTAATATGTTGACTCAAAAGTATGCAACTTCTTTGAGAAGCATGCCACTTTTTTAGAAATGCAAAAATACATCACACAAAAAAAAATCTAAGAGCATGCTAGTGCTTCACGCAAATATATAATAAGTCCAAAAGCACATAAAAGCATCTAAATACACAATGCAAATGCACTGAAATCATGTAAGTTTATTGTGTTAATACCTCAAAAAGCATGCAAGTGCACGTTATAGGTGCATAAAAAATGTGCACACCACTGAAAAGGCATGACAAATTGTCAAAAAATTAAACATGCCCGTATGTGCCCTAACGTATGCATTTAACTTTCCAATTTAAAGTTTTATAATATTGCACGAGTTAAAAATCAATTAAATCAAATTTCTCCCGCTTTTAAACATGTGTGATTGTTCTACTAAAATTTGTTTATCTTTTTTTTTTAAATCCAAACTTGTCAACATATGCTACGAAAAATATTAAATGGCTAAACACAAATATCTGAGAATACTGCATAGATTAAAATTTAGATGAAATTTGAACTTTCCTTGCACTAAGTCCTGCAAACATCTTTGAAAAAATGAACTATGATTCCCTTGATGAAGGAAATAACTCATGCTTACTGATAATAATCCTTTTGATTAGGTTGTAGACTACATCCTCTAACTAAATAGACCAAGATCCATAATAACCTAAGACGATGTAAACATAAGTTTTTGATAGGATTCATCATCATTCTCCTCTCCATTCACTTGAAGTGTTAGGTGATAAATTTTGAATCTTATATCACATTTGTTGTTACTATATGATAAACATTTAGCTTCTAATAACTTATCTTAATAGAAAGTTCACTCTCGTCTCTAGAAGGCTAATTCAATCATAGGGGTTTGTGTTTATGAAAAACTTGAAACAAGGTCATAAAAATCTTATAAAATGAGGGCGAATATTTATATAGTGTCTTATCTTTCTAAAAATTTAACCCGTAAAATCAAATTTCTCTCAACAGAGGCTGTGGCCCAAATTTTTGGGACCCACAAATTGTCCATTAATTCCCTTTAAGTTCATATGACAATAATAGTTAGAAACACCTTATAAACCATGCTTTATGAGTACTTCCGAAATGTCACTAGTAAACCAAAAAAAAAAAAAAAGTTAACAATAAAAAACAGTTTTCTTCGGGCTCCTGCTTCAATGTACTTAAAGCTGTAAATTGTTAACGAAGGTTCTATCCTAATTCCAGTTAATTTGCACGCTATTTTTCTGTTCATATCAGATAGTTGAGGCCCAAATTCATTATTAAATATTGTTTTTTCATGGTTGAATATAGAAGTACCCCTAGGGAAGGTTTTACTAGTATTTCAACGTTTTGAAGAATTATGCAATTTCTGGAATCTAATTTATCTAAATGAAGTTAGATATCTAGCATCCATTACTGTAGCAGCAACTTCATGTTGCTTGCGTCAGGAATATATTTTTTACGCTTGAAATGTTCAGTAGTAGATAGTGATGATTTATGATTTTCCCATGTCAAATTTGAATGCTCTCTCAGGTTGAGCTTCTCATACTTTCGCATCATTTCTACAAGTCTTCTGCCTGTCTAGATGGTGTGGATGTTCTCGTCACCCTTGCTGCAAATAGGGTAGAATCTTATGTTTCAGAGGGAGATTTCTCTTGTTTGGCTCGGTTGGTAACTGGAGTGAGCAATTTCCATGCCTTGAACTTCATTCTCAACATTCTGATAGAGAATGGCCAGCTGGAACTCCTGCTTAACAAGTATACCACTCCTGATACTGTTGCTGGCTCATCAGAAACTATTAGAGGATTTAGAATGGCTGTTCTCACATCACTGAAGATTTTTAATCCTCATGATCTCGACTCATTTGCAATGGTATGATGTTTTTTTTTTTTTTGGAATTACTTGAAAATTGCAAGTTATTTAATGATTAAATTGGACATTGCCTGCTCTTATGAGGATACCATAATCTGTTTCATTGCTAGATGATGGGTAATTAAGTCATTATATATATGGGGTTTGAAGACAGTCGGTCCAAAAACACATCCCAAGAGCCAAGATGATAGCCTAGGCAGAATCCAAAATGATTAATTTTATATGTTTTCTGTGAAAAAAAAAATATTTTTTCCAATCTATTAATTTTATATGTTTCTACTTTCAAATACAAATTCAAGGTTTTTGATGTGAATCTACAATCCAAGAATACTTTGTAATCTAATTTGATAAATTTTTATGAAGATTTGATTGTTGATCCAACTGTATGACTTACAATGCTCTAGAAAAATAGTACCAGTTTCATAAATTTTTTGTTGAAAGAAAATCCATTAAAATCATTGTAGTTTTTATAAATTTGCTCAAAAGTTTCTCTTTGATTTGGGTACTGTATCATGAAATCAATCAATCACCGATCTCATTTTGTAGATCGATGGTTAGAGAGTAAAGTTGTAATGATATTCGCCTCGTCTTTGCAGGCGTATTCTCATTTTGATATGAAGCATGAAACTGCATCCCTACTCGATTCACGCTCTTTGCAACACATGCACCGGTGGCTCTCCCATCCTGAAAGAGACCGCCAAACTGAAGAACTTCTTGAAGCCATGCGCTACCTGATTGAAGCCGCTGAGGTTTTTTCCACCATTGATGCCGGCCACAAAACTCGCTACGCTTGTGCCCGCGCAGCCCTCCTCTTCCTCCAGATTCGCATCCCAGATCTCACCTGGATTGAACTCTCCGAAACAAACGCTCGTCGAGTTCTTGTGGAGCAGTCCCGCTTCCAGGTTGCCCTTGTTGTTGCAGAAGCCTATGGCCTAAACCAGCCAAATGAGTGGGCTCCTGTTCTATGGAACCAAATGCTGAGGCCCGATTTGCTTGAGGAGTTTGTGACCGAATTTGTGCTGGTTCTTCCCCTTCATCCATCGATGCTTCTCGAGTTAGCGAGGTTTTATCGATCTGAGGTGGCTGCGAGGGTTGATCAGTCACATTTTTCTGTGTGGCTTTCGCATGGTGGTTTGCCTGCGGAGTGGGTTAAGAATCTTGGAAAGTCATTTAGAAGTTTGCTTAGAAGGACCAGGGATTTGCGGTTGCGGGTTCAGCTGGCAACAACAGCTACAGGTTTTGAAGATGTGATTAATGCCTGCAATAAGGTCTTGGATAAAGTACCAGATAATGCAGGTCCGCTCATCTTGAGGAGAGGCCATGGAGGAGCTTATGTTGCCCTCATGTGAACTGCATCTTCCCTTCTACAAAAAACGATCGAAGTTATCCATATATGTATATATATTCCTAGCACATATGACATTCTGCGAGTCTTTTTTTTTTTTTAGTTTTTATTTTTTTATATCTTAGTGAGATCTGTTCAAGATCCAAAAAGGCGAGATTCTTGTCTGCAATCGGCATTGAAAATTGGATAAAAAGGGCAAATCTGTGCTCGGGTGAATTTTTTTGGAAAATTTTGGGGCAGAAGCCCTTCTATTACTATGGAAAAGAGGATCAATTACAAGTAAAATAAAAAACCCCTCATAAGAAACAACAAAAACTTATGAGGAACAAAAAACCATAACTATACCACCCAAATTAACCAAAAAAATTATATAAGGATCCAAAACGTGGTAGTAGATGCAGCGCATGTAGGACTCAGGCTGCAGTCCGAGCTAGGATAACACCGGAAGCATACAGGTTAAAAGCTTAAATGATCCCCTGGTTGCCATTTAGACCATCCACGGGAATCAGAATATGCAGCATTCCTCATCGCCCTTAAAAACCCCAGGGGCAGCAGCAAGTTCCTGGTTGCTGTATAGACCATCCAGGAAGCGATGTAGATCCAACAGAAGAGAAGAAAAAGTCCAGCCAGCACTTCCAATAAAATTGCCAAGTACAGATCAGAAGCCCTCCCGTAAGGAACACTCCCAGCAATAACAGCACCTGCTAACATCACTATTATAGCCTTTCCAGCAAAGTATATCTATATTTTCTCTCATTTCTTTCTCTCCAAAGATGGTAAATTGCAGAACATATGATTAAGTTATAAAAATGCTTTAATTTGCCTTGCTCAGAACTAAGACATTCGAAGGCTTGTAATATAGTTGGTCTAAGCAGTTGATTACCCAAACTTGATATCAGATCAATAATCACCGAAAAGGAGTAATCACATTCAAAAAAGAGGTGAGAGATGCTTTCGGTCCCTGTATGGCAAAGGGAACATCGAGTACTCACCATAATTCCTGTAGAATTGTGCTCGGGTGAATTACTTTCAGGTAAGTACTTGTCTCAGTACTTTTTTGTTCTGTTTTTTGGATTTTTTTTTCTTTTTTTTTTTGTTTTGGGGACATTTAGGCCATTTAAGGCAAACTCACACATACAACGCATACACAAAGACTCGAACACAAGACCTCTTAGTTGGAAGCATAAGCTCTCAACCAACAAGTCAAGGTGAGCTGTGTTCTGTTTTTTGTAAGTAGCATTGTTATTTGTACATTTTTTTTTTTTGATTTTGTATAGTTTGGTCACGTCAATTTGAACGGAAACCGAACAGGCATCAGCTGGGATTTATTGTCTGACTAGCTAAACCAATTAATTTTAGGTGTTATTTGAGACAAAAAAAAATTATGAAAGTTTTTTAATATAATTTTATTTTATTAAAAATGATTGTAATAACTTGTTTCATAAAGCGTTTAAAAATTTATCCCAAATGAAATCTTAATCATAAATTTTTAATTTCCGTAGTTTATTGGTTTGATTGGTTTGATGATTAAATTTTGATTTTATTATTAATGAGTAATCAAAATTAATTTGAAATTTGAAACAAAAATAATTCAATGATCTAATTGGACTTCAAAGAAGTTTTTAGTAGAGTTTTTGTGATTAATTGAGATTTTGATTACAATTTAGTTAAAAAAGCGAGTTTTAGAGGAAATTTAATTTTTATAGTTATCAAAATTGTACTAAAATCATTGAAATCACTAAAATTTAAATACGAGCTGTTTTAAACATATAGTTATAGACATTAGAGTAAGATTAATATAAAAGTTACAAAATAATCATCTATTTATTGATATGTTGGAATCAAATAAATAATATCTAGTTAATAGCATAAAAATAAAATTATTATTTAGACCGTTAAATAAGTCTTTGCAATGAGGCGAAGAAGCGTACGAAAGAGGAGAATAAAATGAAGTTTGATTGGAGATAAATTATTGCATTTTGGAGTGAAAAATAGAGATTTTTTTGTTGGAGAAGCCCTTAATAGTGCCTAGATTTTTAACATAAATTATTTAAGTAAAAATTAATAAGCTGTTCTAGAAGTTGTGCGTAAGAGATTAATAATATTATAAGTTAAAATTTTGCCAAAGGTGTCAATTCGGGTCAACCTGTCGGGTTCGGGTCGAACCCGACCCGATTCGGATCTAAACAGGTCAACCTGAATCCAACCCGTTTTTGCAAACGGGTAGGACATTTCAACCCGGACCCGACCCGGCCGGGTTGCCGGGTTGACCCGACCCGACCCGCGCCGGATTTAGTGGGATCGTGAGCTAGGGCGGAGCGGCCGAGCAAGTTCGCGTCTTCGCGAGCGAGGCGGAGCGGGTTCTCTTCTTCCGAGGCGGAGCGGGTTCGCTTCTTCGCGAGCGACGGAGCGAGGGCGGAGGGCGAGCCAGCGAGGGCGGGATCGCGAATCGCGATCGAGGGCGGAGCCGCGGAGCACGAGCGCGGGCGGGATTGCCAGCGCGGGCGGGAATGCGAGCGACTACGGGAGGGATCGCTATTCGCGAGCGAGTGCGGGCGAGTAGGGCAGAAATCGGGTTAAACGAGTTGACCAGCGGGTTGTCGGGTCAACCCGGACCCGACCCGTTTTTCAAACAGGTCAAAATTTTGAACACGAACCCAACCCGTTTAACAAATGGGTTGACCCGAACCCGGATTTTTCGGGTCGGGTCAGAAATTGACACCCCTAGTTAATGACATGCTTTCTAAATGTTTACATATTTCAAATAGAGCTCATCAATTATTTATAATTAATGTTATGAAAAAATATATAAATGTAAGATTTTAATAAATGAAAAATTTTTCAAATAATAAGCTTTTAATAAATATTACATTTATTACTCAAACATATAGTACTTAAATCGAAATAATTCTTAGGGACGTGGGAAGAGTTTGAGATGTTTTTTTTTTTAATAATAATAATTATTATTATTACGTGCAAGAAATTTGCAATGATAGAGTTGGTATTTAATATTACAACAAAATCTAGCACGCATAGGAAAAATTGTAGAAGATCAGAAATTTTTTATAAAGAAAATTTGTGAAGCCCTTTTGATGTCAACAATTAGATAAAATTGACCATAATCTAAAGCACTCCCTCATACGATCAATATTGAATATCATGATCATAGATTGTTTATCAAACATGTATGAATCGAATTTATCAGTTCTAGTAAACCATCCCTAATCTAACAGCAGTAGGGTGAAACAAGCGAGGGGACTAAGCAAATCCGAGTGACGAACATGGACGCAGGAACAACTAGTGGAACCGGAGCATGCAAACGAGCGAGAAAATACGTTCAATAACGAAAAACAACTACTCGTGTGAGATAACTTTGATTTTCTCACTCCATTTGCACCCCACAAATAAAAGAGGCTTTTAATGAGTGAAGGTTGATTGAGAGGAAGAAAATAGAGCAAGGAGAATAAATTTATCCTTTATTAAAATCTTAACAACAATTATTTAAGTAATATTGTTAATTAACAAAATGAATTATATAATAATAAATTAAATACAAAGAGTTATTTATATGACAGAGATTGAAAGCAATTCAAATCAATAATATTTGAGATTTTAAACTAGATAATGAGTAAATTAAGTTTAAATTATGTTAAATTCTAAATTTGATTATGCGAACAATGAATTTATTAGTTAAAGTCAATTTGTATAAAAAATATGTAAATTAAATAAATTTAATAAAATAGAAGAAAATTTAAATATTGAGGATTTGGGAGCATTATGTAAATTAAATAACAATATCTTTTGTATATGTGATAAATGTATCGACCTCGAAGTAAGGAGTGAGAGTAAAGCATCGCAATACTTAAGTTTAAAGTGAGTATTTATGTTTCTATATTATGGTAACAATATTGCTTCTTTTAATAGTCTTAAATTTTTATTGCAAATAATTTCTCTCTCATATATCAAATGATTGAGCATGATTATCATGTTATGTTTTACAATATTATATAAAGTTAAATATATATGCTTGCATATGCATGCTAACTGATGGAGCACACCTCCTTATGGTACTGACTAGAGACCCAATGTACCCATGCACGCAAAGGAAAATATTATGAAAAAAGAATAGGAAATGAAAAAAGTACATTTATTGGTACTATTTTAGACGGCGGCTCCTATGACAATTTTATTATTTACGATAACTGATAAAGATATTGATAAAGATGTGATATATGCATAATATTAATAGTCATATTTGAAATTTAGGTTTAGATGCTCTGATGATTTATTGATGAATACAAATTATTGAAGAAGTCTTATATTTCAATGCTTTGAAATTATTTATAAATTTTGTTTAGCTCGCACCCTACCATTAGATTATCGTGTTTTTTTCCAGGCTCGTCAGATTTTTCTCATCGAGCTCCTAAAATTGAGTAATATTAAGCTCGTTTGATTTTTCTCATCGAGCTACTCAACTTGATTATAAGCATGCTATAATTGGAGATTATTTGGTTCATCAATTAATATTTAGATGTTTTCAATATAATTTAAGTGTTTGATTTGAGCTCATTTGGAGTCAGATTAGATCATTTATAGCGTCAATAAGTTCTTCTAATTGATACGTTCAATTTGACTATAAATTTGTCGCAATTGGAGTTCGACTTATCTTGAATTTAATTCTTAAGTTTCTAATTCAAATATTACCTCGAGTCGGTCATATGAATTTTTTTTTTAGTATCAATATAATAGTATACTTAATTACTACATTAAAAATTATATGATCCATTAGTTTTAAAATATTTGATAAAAGAAACTACAGTTCACCTAAAAAAAGTTGTTATGAAATTAAAAAAAAAAACATATATTTTTTCTGAATTTCATGAAGGTGATTTTTTTTAAGAATAGTAAGCTTATTTATGACATGTTTAAATATTAATTAATCAATTTTAATAATAATAATAATGTTTAGTATTTATACATTAATTACAAGACATGGTTAAACCGCAGATCCATAGCCTCTTTAATGCTCGAACAACCAAGAATTATACCTTATTACTTACTGTCTTCTTAAAGGAAAAGCAAACCATTAACTCGTTGGGAACCAACATCCATTGTTGTAGATATACTGTACATCCCATTCATTTCTTCCTTCAATGCAATGTATTTGAGTCTTAAATACCATTAATACAATCATTTTGGACTCTCTTCAGAAAGAAACTATAATAATGACCTTCTACACCCCCTAGAAGGAATTGAT